CCTGCTGGTCCATTGAAAACTTTTAACTGGTTGAAGCTCAATGAGGCTAAGGTTAAAGGGACAGCTTGGGAGTTTATCGAGGATGAAAAGATGTACAAACAGGTGAGAAAAAATTATCGATTTTGGTAAATTTTCGGGTATTTTTGAAGAAATTTTGAAAATTCCAGCTCGATCTAAATGATATTGCCACGACTTTCGCTTCCTGCTCACAAAAAGAAGATGATGCAGATTTTTATAGTACAATTTCTCGACGGAACAGGGATGCTCAGGTAATTTTTAGAGGTACTGTAGAGATACTGTAGCATTACTGTACCTTCCTTGCAGGTCTCGGTAATAGATCCTAGACGGTATCAAAACTGCACGATAATGCTCTCAAAGCTAAAACTTACTCATCGTGAGATTCGAACAGCTTTACTTGCTATGGATGATAAGGGAAAACTACCGAAAGATATGATCGAACAGGTATGCGCAAAATACAGTTAGGCTTCCGCCACGCTTACATACTGATTTTTGTAGATGCTCAAATTCGTGCCGAGCAAAGATGAGATTACTCTTCTAAAAAATACAGTTAATCGTCATGGATCACCATCGGTATTAGCTCTGGCGGATCGTTACCTCTATGAAATGGCTCAGTAAGTTTTTAACTGCTTCAGTTAACGATTCGCTGCAGGACCTACGTAAGGACGAGTTTGTCGCACTTGCTCTGCGTCTCTAACATCAATGTGCAATTCGAAATACGGACTCCTATCCCCTAGCGTCTAGATGTTAGAGACGCAGTGGAGCAAATAGAATCTTGCTTTGCTTGCTTTTGTTCTGCAGCGAATAGTTACCTTATCGTATCCTAAGTAAGGCAAAGGTGCAAAAGGGCCTTTGCTCCCCTAAATAACTTAAATTTAGAATTCCCCGCTTTGAACCCCGTCTCCGCTCATTGTACATTATTCGAACATTCCAAGAACGTTTTGACTGCCTCATGCCTCATATCCATAGTGAGTCTCACATTTTTCTAGAATTTTCTGCACGTTACCGTAATCGTACCGTACTTCTAGGCGTCATCAGAGCATCCTCAGCGTTGTCGCACAGTAAGAAATTCAAGCAACTGCTTGCTCTGATCCTTGCAATCGGAAACTATCTCAACTACGGAAAACGTAGTGGCAATGCATACGGTAAGAAA